GTGGCTTCTCCTAAGAGCGCATTCCTGGGCTACTCTTTGATCTGAGTCTTTTATGGTAGGAGGAGTTTACAGTACAATGGAGCCCCCTATAGGCACCTTGGTGATTAGCTTCACTAGAATCTAAATGAGCAAATTCTTCAAACAGCCCACAAACCAAGTTTGCATGCTTAGAGGCCCAAGGGAACCCAGAATTGATGCAGAAGCTGGCTAGAAGTTGAAGCCACAGTCCTAGATGTGAGAGAAAATAAGGGCAGTGCTTTATACCTTTTGTTTTTCAAAGGAAGTTAGATATGTATAGTAAGACATTTGGGTTTCTAAATGTGGGCTTGATTTAAATCAAACATCATGAGAGCTAAAAAGTATATATCAGTGCTCTGGATCTGCTTATAAGCTTCAGGCTTTCAACACACATCCTCCTACCAGTGGAGAATGCGGTGTCATCTTCAGATTCGAACTTCTTCACTTGACAGACTGTCAGATCCAAAGGGCAACATGTGGGTAAGAGCACAGCTGTATTAGAGCATAGGTCATCTGACTTCCAATCCATGGCACAGACTTTAAAAGTTATCTTCAATTTTTACCCTAAGCTCCACTCTGTTTCTCCCTAGAGCCCACATGGAGCCAGTGTACAACAAAAAGGAGGATAGATTCACTGAGGTCTGACTGCAGATAGAAAATTCACCTGTGTGTCTTGTGCCATCTCCTGCCACCACCCTGGCCAGGTGTGTCCCAGTGAGGCCACACAGTGCCAGAGAGCTCTGTCTATCCAAGGAGGGGTATTCTCGTGTGGTCCCCTCATGCCCAAATCCTGGGACATGGATCAGGGCTGACAGCTCAAGGTCTCTGCATCTGCACACAGCCCTGAAGGCTCCACCCAAGGGATAAAGTGCATATCTCAATCTCCAGATGACAATGGGAAATGCTTGTGGTTGAACTATGACAAAGGTTATTTTAATATATTTCCAAGGAAAGAATTTCCCATCTGCATACACATCACTTGGGTACATTGCTAAGTTCACCAAGAAATTAACTCACAACATAAATATATTTCCCCTTTAAATATTGGGAGGCATTTTGGTCTCTTCTAGAACATAAAGGAGAAGCTTTGGAATTGGATCTGCCTGGTTCTGGTTCTGGCTCCACCACTTAAAAGCCACAGGATGCTGAACAAGGGAATTGCCATTTGTACACTTCAATTACACACTGTTGGAGATTAATTAAAATGATGTGAACAATACTTTCAAACATTGTAAGTGCTCATAAATGGTAGCTGTTACAGTGTTGCTTTAAATCAATATTTTTTTTGCCATTTTAAAGATCTAGAGATGCCATTCTTTCCAGAAAGATATGAAACTTCATTTTGACATCTTAGAGGCTGAAAGCACTATTAGTTTGGTAGCTCCTTGACCTTGGTCTTAGCCAAATTTCAATCTAAATGACTTATGCTCCAATATCTGAGACGTACAAATGACAAAGAAAAACCATGAGGTGCTTGGATAATACCTGAATAAACAGCTCAGTTCTCCTAACAATCATACAGTCACATTCTTATGTTGTACAGTGTTTCTTCAAAAGCTGCAGGTGTTGCCCACAATCTGGAAACTAAATCACATTAGTTTGGGCAGAGGAGTCCAATACTGCTAAGGGACACTTCATTTTTTTTTTTTTAACATGATGCTGTAGTCTCAAGGTTTAGTCTTGGGATTCTTAGGAAATTGATTGCTCAGGCTCTTGTCAACTCTGGAGTGGGCATCGATTGGTTGAATACCTAGCAGAAGTTTCATACCAAATTTGAAGGGTAGGCTTTGGAATATGCTACTGAATAGGCCTGCACCAGAGCTTGGACAGAGATGTGGACTCATCTTGATCAGCAGTGCCAGATTCTGACAAATTAAATTTCAACACTTCTAGTTCATCTTGGCAGGTCCTCAGACCTGATGTCATGCAGCCGTGATGTAATCCAGAAAGAGTGGTATTTTGCAATAGATTCTGGTAGCCCTTCCCAGGAGTGTGGGCTGTAGAACATCAATATTTACATCGCACTCAGAAAGCACAACACATTTTGTAAGGCAGAGAGGTTAGATAGCTTCCTCAGAATCTTCTGCATATGTGAATTCTTCTTGTGTTGAACATCAAAAGCTTACATTTCTGGTATTTGTCTTGTTATCTTTAAGGCAGTTTTTACAATTAAATATAATGAATGGAAATCTTATCAATGTTATCACAATAGACATATCAAAACCAAAAGAATTAGACCTGCACTGAGACACTAAAAATGGACTATGTTACAATTTTATCCTTTGCAAAGTTTATGAAAACATGGCTATACCAAAAGGCAGTTATAACTCCTTTTAGGTACATTCACTGGCTCAGTTAGGGCAGACACAATGGAGTTCTCCCCCACCCCATCATACTCCAAGGTGCCAACCAGTGATTCACCAGTGAATACTGTGGCATAAGAATGTGCTCTCAGCAAATTAAGGGGTAGACATGGGAGGAGACAAAAAGGGGAGTGAAAGAAGTTGATGGATTCCTTGGCTAGTCTGATTTAGTCCAAGATGCCATAAATATGTCATCATTTCATTGTTACATGATCCATTCGACCTAATCACCCTTGATTGATAGCTGAGAGTGCAGTTCTGATGCAAGGACTAACTAGTTGGCTCTTTTCAGAGTCATATTACAGACAGCATAGAAATAGAAGATGAAAGCATGTGCAGCTCATCTTGTAGTGAAGTATTTTCCCTTCAAGTCCTGCATATATACACAAGTACTGCCCAAGGTGGCCAGGCTCCACTGGGATGAGTCAGATTCCCTCCTGTAAACTTGACCCTGGACATTAAAGATGATTGAATCCTGGGGTCACAAGATGATTTCCTGTGATGGACCACACACCAATGGCTTTCATGAGCTGTACTCTGTGTCTGGAAAGTCTCCTTGGGTCAATTTTATACTGTTAATGAATATTCCATAGATAAACAAAATTTAGTATTATATTGTTTTGGTTAATATTTTGATTTAGAAACCTGGGGGTTTTCATTCTTTCTTAAATGTTCTAATTTCAATGTACTGTGTTTAAAATTGGCAAACACAGACACCAAGTATTCAGGGCTGTCTGTATAACCCTTTTGCAGACTCCATCATTAATTCTTCTTTCCCTCATTAGTCAATTAAAAGCAGGCCTTTATAGTTTCTCCCCGACTCTCCCAGGTTCTTTCACATCTTTTTGCAATGTCCAGGAAGTGCATAGCTTTCTAGGTGTGGCTGCAGGAGTCACTGGAAGGAACGTTCCCTCCCCACCCTCCTGATGTAACCTTTACTGAAGGAGGAGAGCAGCAGAAAGTGCTGACAAGCCACTCACTTGCATTAAATTCCTTCTGAAGGAGAAACAAGGAAAGGAGAGCAGAATGAACACCTTTCAAGGGGCTAAGGAAAACCTGAAGTTCATGAAAATGAAAGGCTTGTTACCAGACTGTGGATATAAGAACATTCAAGTCTGGCCCTCTGGTAACCAATGCCATCATCAAAAGTGCATGAGAGAGACAGAGAGAGAGACAGACAGAGTCAGAGACAGACAGAGAAACAAGAGTCTAGCTTTAGATTGACTCTAATAAGAAAAATGGTATTGTTACATTACATTTCATTTAAAATAAATTATTATCTTACAAATAGAAGGCTAAAATCTATACCTAAGATGATAGCTAGTGTGTGCTTTGGGGCTGGAAGTGAGGCTGGACATGGAGGTATGGGGAATAATCTCACCTGAAGCACACAGGTCATTGCTTCTCTCACTATCAAAGTTTAGAGGTACAAAAGCCTTGTACAAAATAAATCCAAAGCCCAAAGAAATTAACGCACCTGCACTATTTGAATTATGTGGCAGAAATAGAATTGAGTCATGTTTTGTGTGTTTGTTTTGTTCAGTACCAGTAATCAAACTCAGGACCTTGTGCTCGCCAGGCAGGTGCAATGCCACTGAGCTACATCTCTGTCCTGCAGAAGTAGAATTAAAAAGGAAGGAATTTGATTCCCCATAGTTTTTTCTACTCCTGCTTCATTTTTCCTTTGTCCAAATCTGTTACAAGAAATGAAGATATTTCCACATGTTGTTAACTGGTGAAAAATTCCTTTATCTAGTTCTTCAGTTTCTGTTTCATGACCAGTTATAGACTTTCCATCATTAGGAGAAGAATCCAGGACTTCAGTCCAAATGAATGGCTACCTGGTAATTCCGCCACCACTGTGGAGGGAACTGTTCAAGAGGAAGTGACAAAGTATTACAGGACAAAGGGATCAAACAGAAAACTCCATAATCCATACAAGAACACAAGTGCTCTGCCTGCTCTGGACTTGACATCTGGATAGCTTTCAGGCCTCAGAAACTCTAGCTTATTCCATATTTCCCAGAGAAAGGCTGCACGGTGTGGTCACAATCTGGGTGTGGTTTGTGTTTCCCTTGGACATTCCAGTTTCTTTTCAAGACACATACTCAGTTTGCTGGACGTACTGTAACACTGATCTCATCCTAAAAGTTCACCTCGAATCATTTAGGTACCAGGAAAGCTTAGGATTAGGTCCTGGGAGCCCACAGACACAGAGCCTGTGTGGATGGTCCACAATGGAGGGTGGAAAGCACACGGAGAGCTCATGGCACTGCTTTGGTCTGCTGCGAGGCTGAGTTATTCCCATGCAGACCCAGCTCTGACATGGTCAAAAGCATGGATGGATTTTCTGCAGTGAGAACCACAGCCGCACCACATACCCACAGAGGGAGCAGGCACTTGACTTCTGCCCTTGCAGCTTGTGCACTTGGCTCCATGGCACCCAAGGGTGGCAAAGCCTAGAATCCAGTGCTAAATTTTATCCTCTCACGTCCCTGGGATCCCAGCTTCCATCATTTGCAAGGTTAGGAGGCTCGGTACTTTTTCTTTTTCATTTCATTTCAACTTATGGCCCATAGGTTTTCACAAAAGACTCATTGGTGATGTCTTCCAAAGGCCTCACAGTGGCTCTTTTCCTCCAGAGCACATATTGTAGGGAGACTGCAGGTTGAGACACCTAAAACAGAATAGCAGTTTCACACTGATCACTGTGGATGCACCCATGCACTATTGAAGTGGCTGCCTGTGGCACCTCACCCAGTTCCCCTCCCTCATGACTGTGGCATCCACAGGCTCATGTCCTTCTCCTGAGTTTCACCCTGCGCTATCTCTCATCCCGCCAGGAGAGTTCTGGGAGATCACACCCCACCCCCACCCCATGGGCTCTTGTGGCCCATGACTGACTAAATCCAAGACTCCTCTTCTAGTGGGATGGGCCAGGGATGCCATTCATACTCTAAATCTTACATGCAATTGGGCAGAGGGTCAGTTTCAGTCCCAGCCACACTGCTTCCCTACCTGCTTTCCTTCTGCCATTGCAGGTTGAATTATGTGACAAAAACATAACTGCAAAGGAAAGACCTTGACTCCCTGAGACAGTTATTTCTGCCACTGCTCCCTCACCCCACCCCAGTCTCTGCTTGGGTACCTGCCCTGAGGCAGGCTGTGTATTTCAGGTGGTCTTTCCTGCACCTCTTCCTCCTCTTCTCATTATTTTTGGTTTCTTCAATAGATGTGTGCCTGGTATAATACTGTATAGATTCAATTTTCTCTAAGATTAGTTGTGAAGCAAAACAAACTTTTCTAGTTTTAGATGGGCAATTTTGTCATTTTTGAAAGTGATAACTTAGTAACAGCAAGGGGAATATATTTGTATCTTTAAAATTAATGTGCCTCAATTATTTACTGCATTTTTCCTACTTACGTGGACTTAAGGAATAATCATGAATGTGGAGAAACTAGAAATAAGTAGCTTATACTTATTTGTAGATCAAATTTATCACCTTGAGGTTTAGTAGTATCTTCCAAAGATCCCCACAATTGAAGTTTGGGGAGAAAGTGGTCTGTGTTTGCCATACATTTTCATTTAACACTCATTCTTGAGTTTTGTTTTTGCCCAACAAATATTTGCTCTGTGTCTGTTGTGTGTACGGCATAAAATTAGACACTAAATATATAATCGCAGCAGACATGCTTGGTTCTGAACTTCTAGGGGCCCACTGTCTTCCTTTTTTATAATTTTGACTTAGACAAAAATAGGAGGGAAATTGTGAATTTGGAGTATCCTATTAAAATCCTATTACCATTTTTCTAAGTCTATGAGAAAAGGAATAAAAAATATTATGAAGGAACCTCTCAGATTTACACTACTTTTTTCATTAAAAAAATATTATGACCAGGCCTGGCAGGGGCTCAATAAGTACTCTCAAGTGAATACATGCAGACAGATTTCATAATTTGTCTTTTTCATACCTCTTTCTTATGTAACAGTAAAAAACAGCAAGAAAACCACTTAATAGTAGTCCGACGCCAATCCCAACTGCGATGTATTTTTCATAAGAATCCACAGCATATGAAGTTAAGGTCAGGTGCTCACACCTTTCCCCGGTATAACCAGTGTAACACCTTTAAAAAGAGAAGAGGATATATCATTGTAAACCCTTTGATGACAGAAGTATAAAAATGACATATTTCAAAGAATGAGAAAAAATAGGCATGGAGATGCACCTATAACCCCAGCACTCTGGGAGGCCAAGGTAGGAGGATCACAAGTTCATGCCCATCCTGGGCAACTTAGCAATTTAGTGAGACACTATCTCAAAGACAAAAATAATAAGTACTAGTAAGGCAGCTCAGGACAAAGGCCCTAGGTTCAATCCCTAGTACTCCCCAAACCTGCCCCCATAAAAAGTAGTTTAAACTAAAGAGGTAAATATCAATTTTTTATTTTTTATTTTTTTGATACCAGAGATTGAACTCAGGACCTTTTGAGGCAGGCAGCGACACCACTGAGCTAAATCCCTGGCCCAGCAAATACCAATTGAAAGCCAATGTGTTAAAGGTAAGAAATAGCCATAAATCCTTATTAATTACATTAATCCTTTCATTAGAGTCTCATATTTTTCCCTTTAGCATAGATGGGAAAGATAGTATGCTTGTCAAGACAACTGAGCAAGTCAGCAATTACAAAAAAAAAGTAGCTTAGTCATTTCAGAACTTTAGATTCACAAAAAGCTTTTTGTCTTAGACTGTTAAACTTTATCCTAAACAATCCCATGAAAACTAGGAATCACCTTTTCATGTTAAAAATGTAGATCTACCAATCTGGGAATTGCATTTTTGAGTAATGGGAATTAAGTAGTTTAGAAAAAGACTAAGCTTTTCAGGTACGAGAGAACTTAACGAGTCATGTCCAGATCAACCATCATTTCTACAAGACAGAGAGAGGCATATGGAGACCACTGCTGAAGACCCAGGCAGGGAGCCCCTTCTGCCTGCAGCCTGGGCAGGAGTTACCTGCAGATGGCCTGGTCCAGCTCATGGTGGAAGGCACACATGCCATTGATGCAGTAGCTGCTGTGGTCTTCCAGGCAGGGGTGTGAAAACCTCAGCGCAATGGGTCCTTCAACATAGTTAGCTACAAAAAAGAGATGCATGTGAATGGAGGAGATGTGTCTAGCTTTCATGATAAAATTTCCATATGTATGTGAAGAGAATCTTAATTTGAGGGTTTGGGGAAGTGCTTGGTCCTTTGGAGTACTGACTCCCTTGGCAGGGTTGGGTTCACGTCTTCTCCACAGAGATCATTAATTAATCAAAGCGTGGGGTGTGTTGATGATTGCTCCATCCTTTAGAAGGCACACTGCAAGCATGGAGACAGGTTTGCCAAAAGGTGGCAGCATTGGCTCTGGGCTCAGCAGGTCATTTTGAGCAATGCTCCCAGAGTTGTAATAAAGACGGCAGTTTTCACATCATCTCTGCCTTTCCCCCCTTTACACTCCGCAGCTAGGAAGGTTTGGAATTACACCAATGGGATAGTGAGCTTAGTTCTTTTCCTCCCAGTGGAAGGAGTGGTGTGAATTCCTCCACGAGGGGCTGGTTGAAAAGGGACAAATTCCCTGATGACTTCACAAGACACCAGACTGAGCTGATGACAATACCTTCAAATAGCAATTAAAGTTTCCCTCAATTAAGAGGCAGTGGGAAGCAGTGGTAGAATCTGGGAACTTGTGAGTTTTTATTTCTAACTCTAACACTATGCAAGTAGTCAGTGCGGGGTGTAACTTTTGGACTCCAATGTCCCGAAACCTCCTCTGGGCAGCTCTTCAGGAAGGGTTGGTCGGGCAAACATAGAGTTTAAGGAGGCTGCTCTGGCTCTCTGTTATGCTGAAGACATACCTGTCCCATCTATGGTGTTTACACAGAGGAAAGGCCTTTGTGTAGAACTGCAGAACTGATTCCTTTTTGGCATATTTTAATTATGAATTCTTAAATTTTTCTCAAGCAGAACTAATGGCATTTTATTTTGTCATTGCTGTATATATAATCCTAGTTCCTCATTATAGTTATTATGCTGTAACACTGTATTTGCCTTGCTAAAGAGATTAACATAATCCTACTTATTTGCATTTAGGGAAAAACAGGTAAAGTCATTCTTTTTTACATTGAAAATGCTAAGTTTTTAGGTACTAAAGTACCATCAAGAGATTATGTTGTATCCTCACTTTGAGAAGACACCATATTACCTTAAAATTCACATTCATTTTGTTGTTGAATATGACATGGAAATTTTATCATCTTAATAATTCTAAGGCAGTGAGAGTTTTCCACTACAAGCTATGCTAAGTTCTTTTTAATTCAAACTGAACAAGTAACCAAGCCTGAAACAAGATTTGCTAGAAAAGGTGAAGATTAAAAGAAGCCATGTCCCAAGAAAGTGTATACAAGAGGGACTCATCCTTCCCCTTAAAAAAACAGCAGTTATGACTTTATGAAAATTTTTCTTAGATGCTGGATTCATATTTTAAAGTCAAATAGAAACCAAAAGGAGGAGCTAAAGTTCTCTACTAAGAAAGCAAAGGAAAAACAGGTGACACATTCAATCTGTTTTTTTCCCATTTCTATTTTGAGCAAATTGGAGAATTTTGTTTGCATAAGGAAAAGCTAACACTGGGGATAATGTTATGTCATCCGTCACCACGTGGAAATCACACCTCTCTCATCTTTCTATAACATTACTGATCATATTCTAATCAAAATGTTCCTGCTTTTCTGAAAAGCTCAGAAGACATGAAGAAGTTGGCTAAAACTTATTTTAAAGCTCACACTGATTTTGTTTTGCAGATTGATATTTTAAAAAATCAAGTGGGTAAAATATTTTAAGCTGCTTAAAATGTATCATTTTTGGTGAAATGAAGGACAGTTCAGTATTACTTCATATTTATAAACAAAACATTTGACCTGATCTTTCGTTTGCTGGGCTTTGAGGACAAAGATCTGGTTGTCCTTGTCACACTGCAGGGATCACAGGAAGTGTACTGTGCGACCCCACGAGAATCATCACTGCTCAGGCCTAGGTCTTGACGTGCAATGGGCTTTTTTTTTCAAGGTTGCCCCAATTCAAGCAGGTTTAAAAGCAGTGTGGATGCCCATTAGCAGCCAGAAGCTCCTAATAATGGTAATAATAATAAAATAGGAAAGAAAATATCACCATCAACAACAAAAATTGGGCATGGTGGTCAGGAAATGGAGCATTGGCCGAAACAACACCAGTCCCCCAAAAAACAAAAGAGAAAGATCTTTCCAAAGATGAGGGGAACTGCTTGGTTTCTAAGTTTGTAGTCACAGATGGATATCTTTCTGTCATCAAGAATGCCACATAGGGCAGAGAACCATCACAGGGCACACACAGTTTCCAGCCAAGCAGAAAGCCAGCAGGAAGTGCAGCTGTCTCTGGACAGCCACAGAGGCAGCTCTTTTCTCATTCATTTCACTTTCTCCTTTACAAAAGGCATTTTTTGGCTAACACCCCTGTCACTTCAACTTACACCATCTTGCTAAATAGAAGAGTTGATAATCTAATAAAATATATACTTAAAAATTTCCAGTGTGGCTTCTATCCTAATACAAATTTCTGATGAAGATTTTAAAGAAGACACTCAGAACACCAGCAAGGGGAGACAGTACCTTGTGTCTTGTTAGCTGTCCTGTTGCTTTGGGGGGCTGTGCCTGGGGACGTCCCGGTCCAGTCGGCCTCAGCGGTCAGGGCCGTCAGTGCTGTACAGAGGGGAGGGGGCAGCCTGAACGCGTGAGCCTCTCCAGGTAGCAACGGTGGACCCAGCTATTCTCATTCTGCTATTTCCCATTGTCCATTCTGTTTTTAATCTATTACATTTGAAATTCGAAACCTAACTAGGGTAGTTTTCCAGCCGTTTCTCAGCTGTTCCACTGAACATATTCTAATTATGAGAAATAGAAGCACAGCAATTTTTAAGAGAATGTGAATACATTTACATATCAATTAAATTAAAGTACTTCTCTACTGTACTATAGTGGCAAAATATAATCAACATTCTTTGTTTAAAGCAAATATTTTGGGAGTTCTTAAAAAAAAGATGAATCAAAATATTTCAGTAGAGGAACATACATTTCCTAAGAAACTAAATTACCCCACAGATTCCTTGCTCTGATCTTTGTCCTGAGCAGCTGAGCAACTTTTTTCCTAATTCAGATAAAACTAATTCCATTTGCAGTTTACACTGACACAAAGTTAATAAAACACAAAGGAAATGACCTACCATTGAAGAAAAGATAGGCTGACACTGGAACTCCCAGAGCCATATCCTGTGGCTGCTTAACTTTCTTTTCTCCTATCCTCCTAGACTGCCGGGTAGCAGGTTTTATTGAGCTCTGCGTCTTTCTTGCATTTATATTTCACACGATGCGTCATCTGTCAGTTCTTACCAATCAACGAAATATGCATTTCTGGCAGCAGCATGAAGGCTCCAGGCGCTCCCGCACTTGTTTAGGATGCATATGTTATCTTCCAGCGTGATCCGGTTTCCTTTGAAACACTGGTTTCCTGTTACCTGTGGGCATACTCGTGTCTGTGAAAGTTCTTAAAACAACAGAAGAGAACGGGAATTGGGAAAGGTCCCCTTTGTGTGAGTAGAACCATGTGAGCTCTGTTGACAGCTACCAACAGAGGCATTTGCAAATCAGGAAATGGTGAAAACCTGTGAATAAAACCAGCCCTAATACCCTAATCAGTTACACTCTCTTCCTTACAGACAGCTGCACTGCAAGACAAAATACTTTGTCAGTGTAGTTGTAGGAGAGAAATTAAATTCATGTAAAACCAGATTTAGTATTCCATGTGGGGGCTGAGGAAGCAACTCAATGGTAGACCAGCTGCTCAGCATGCAGGAGGCCCTGGGTTCCAGCCTCAGGCATGCTAAAAAAAATTTTTGTTTTAGGTTTTGTTATTTGGATTCACTTTTGACAATTGCCGTAAACATAATTATTTTTAATATTACAGCATTTACCTTTCTGTCATTCTGCCATTTAATATTTTTCCGTGTGAACAGAAAAATGAGCTGCCAGGTTTCATAAACAATGCTTAAATCTGTGCCTCAATGATCAGGCTGGAAAGAACCAATAACGTATACTACTAGTAATAGGAACAATAATGAGAATAAAAATTCTCCATCGAAATAAATATGACATCTCATGAATAAAAAGTCTTGACACAACATTTAGATTCTCCTCAGCATTAATCTAGCTATGACAAATACTATTATAAAGGCCAACTCATATAATCATTGACATTATGTTTTCTGACATTAGGGGCTTCCCATAAGTTTTCACTTTCCCCAAATTATTATAAATAAATTCTGTTAATGTGTTGTAGGTAGCTATCTAGAATTTTAACTGCTGCTTTCCTGAGCCTAAAAAACCTGTTCAAGTCAAAGTGTGGTATCATTCACATCAAGTCCACCCAGCAAGGAATTAGATTTATCAGAAAGGATCCTTTCTCTACTCAAACAGGAAGGTGGCTTTAGAAATCACACAAGAATGAGCTTGTATTCATTACAACTTGAGCAACTGCTTATCACAAGACTCATCGTTTTAAAGTTAAAAGAATATGTAGCATTAGGCTCACTTTAAATGGGATATTTTGTATTTCTGTTCTTATGGGGTTTTTTTAAATCCATTTCTTAAGTTGATTTTTGAATGCTATTTTTCCCAGGCAAATACTACTTGAATTATAAATCAAAGAATCCTCTCAGCACTGTTGGTTAAAATTTAAGAAGAATTCATTTGCAAGGGATTAAATAAGCCATCACCATTCCATTTACAGTTCCCAGAGGAGATGTTAGGATTTGCATCGAATTAACTTGCTCCCCCTGTCTCTCTCCCTCCCTCCCTTCCTCCCTCCCTTTTTTCTTTCCCTCCCTCCTTCCCCCCGCTTTCTCCTTCTTCCTTTCCATCTTCCCTTTCCTTTCCTTTCCTTTCCTTCCCCTCCTCTTCCCTTCCCTTCCTTTCCCTTCCACTTGGCCCACTGAGTATCAAATCCCAGGCCTGTGCCTGCTAAGCAAGCTGGTTTACCACTGAGCTGCAGCTCCAGCCCAAACATTTTCATTTCTAAGACTGGGATATGGAAGTATAATAATTCTCTGTGCAACAACAATTAAGCAGAGCTAACATAGCCCACTGGATTTTATGGGTTTTCACGTACACTTGAATTCTTTTTTTATAGTCCTGGCCCAAATAAATTGAGAGCCTGACATATAATAAATAATGAATTTTTCTTGAATGCATAATGACACAAAAAATTGGCCTTCTTTGTATTTTCAGAGGATAAATGAAAAATGGAAGCTCAACAAAGTAAAGTAGGGGCTGGGAAACAGCTTAGTGGTAGGGCTCTTGCTTAGCATGTGTGAGACCCTGGGTTCAATCTCCAATACAACAAGAAAAGAAGAAAAGAGTAAAGAATTACATGATTTGCCAAAGGATATGACTCAATCTGGACTTCAGTCTCATCCTAGACTCCTGATCAACAACCCTTTCCTCTCCCCAGCTGTGTCCTATGGTAGAGTTGGGTTATGGATCGAAGTCCCCTTCATTATCTCTAAAATCAAACAGTAAATAAATTTTATTACATGAAACTGAAATTAAATGGACTGTAGTTTGTACTCAAATCAGGACAGAGCAGGGAATGACTGCCTCTTGATGTTTCCCCACTGTGGTGTCCTAAACCACATAGTATGGAAACTCATCCACCACTGTGGCTTAAGGTTTATGCCAGAAAATAGCTCCAAGTCATTCCAGGCACTACTCTTCTTATGGGTATAGACTCCTCTCCAGTGTATAGACGTCCTGACAGGAGAAGGGACTCTAAGGAGAGGAGTCAAGGAAGGCAGAAAGGTGAGATAGTGAAAAATGGGCCCTGACTTCCATTATCCCAACAGACTTTTTTTTTTATTGAGTTTATTGGTACATTTTAAATATACAGTACAGTTACATTCATCATTGGGATCTTGTACCTTTACATGACAGATTTTTTTCCCTACACCCCTGCTCTCCCTTCACCCCTTCCACCCTCCCCTATTTACAAAGACTTTGCTTCCATTTTTTCCTTTTCTCACAATTTTTTCTTTCCCCTATTTCCTTTCCCCTGCCATTCCAACTTCCCCTACACCATTAGCCTGTTTTTTCCTATTTCACATTATCAGTTATACAATTTGGATCTTACTTACACTTTTAGTTTGTCACACCAGAGAAACTATTCGGTATTTACACGTGTGATTACTTATTTCACGTGAGACTATGGCCTCAATATGCATCCATTTTCCTATGAATGACCCTATTTTCTCATTCTTTATGGATTAGTACTCCATTTTATAGAAAAACCACATCTTCTTTATCCAGTCTCCAATTGATGGGCGATTGGGCTGTTTCCAACTTTTAGCTATTACAAACTGTGCTGCCATAAACATGGGTGCATATATATCACGGTGGTATGATTCCTTTAATTCTTTTGGAAAGATACCCAACAGAGGGATGGCTGGGTCAAACAGAACCACTAATCCTAGTTCTTTGAGGTATCTCCATATTGATTTCCACAGTGGTTGCACCAGTCCCAACAGACCTTATTTTAAATCCAGATCCCAACTTTACTATCCATTTGGCCTTGGCTGAGATTTTTTAATAAGCTAGCAGGCCAATTCCCACGTCTATCAGGCAGAGATCATTAATAAAGGACCCTCCCCTCAATAAAGAAAAGAAAGGGGAGCACTTGATCCGTGAGAGGGGCTCAAGCCAGGATAGTGGTTGCTCTCTGGCGAGTGTAGTTGGCCACAGCATGCCCCCACACAGCCGGTGCATGGTCTCCAGGAAGGGCAGGGACTAGGTGGTTGACATGTGCTGATGAATCCTAAATTTTCACCACGGGCCATGAATGCCAATCCTTTTCCGGGACTGATATTACTTCAGGATTTTATTTACATATTTTGTCAACACCTCCAACTCATCTTAAAGTGAACACCTAATCTCTTTTCCAAAATCCCCACCCTTACACTTCCTTATGCTGATCAGTGGTGGCATGTCCCACCTCTACTGGCAGTCTTCGTGATCAGTAAGTATGGTTTGCATTATGATTTACCTCATTTTTCCCAAATCTATTTTGCATGTTAATCCAGTTACATTTCCAGCACTTTTCCACTCAGACCTTTTAATTTTCATCTGACCGGCAACTCTTGCTTTCATATGTACGTGCTAAGCACCTTCTCAGCTTCTCATCCCATTATTATTATTGTTTGACACTTGTTAATTCTTCAGGATCCTCTTCACAGATTCTTCACGGACACAGACAGCACAGGATGACATCCATATCTCCAAGCTCCTCCACAAAGCCAGTGGATGCCTGCATTTAGGGGACTCTACAAATAGACCTGATACCAATAAACTGACTTCATCTCTTTTCTGTGTTGACAAAGACTTCTTTCCCCAAACTTTAGTGAGGCCCCACTGAGCCTCCTTCTTAATAGGCCTTGACCTTACCCCCCTGAGCTTGACTTTAGCAGAGAATCATCGTGCTACATCAGTTTATGGACCCCACCACTACCCCACACCCTGGCATCTGCTCAAGTCCCTGATCATCCCCTTAATATCTTAGTCTTTAGCCAGTTATTAACAAAATACTAATGAGCCAACTTAGCAAGAACGGCCCTACCCTAAGGTCCTCTTAGGATTTTCCTACCCACTGACCCCACCTCTATTCAGGGGCTCTGAATCTCCACCTGTCTTTGCTGTGTACAGAGTGAAATTCATTTTCTCCTCTCGGTAGTCCCCATGCCATGGCAATAGTCTTGACTAAAGCCTTCTTTAATGTCTGAAGCAAGTGTTAGGATGTTTCTTTTATAGCTTTACTTAGTCTCCGGAAAGGCTGACTCCTGACTATTTTTCCAGAATAACCCCTCTTGTACCACGGGTGAAGGCTCAAGACTGTAGTCTTTGTATTTTTTCCCATATATGTATGTTTTGGTCACATTTTGGGGTGGAGTTAAACTTAGAGACCCCTTCTGAAATGTGTACTTATGAATTCTGGATTTAAATTTCTGACAGGATTTACTGGACAAAGATGTGTCTGGACTGACTGTGGGATATGCTACAGTATCCTTTCTTTGGGAAACTCGCTACATTTTTCCAGCATTCATTAAAGAAACAGGTAACAAATGTACGTGCAACAACAACAAAAACTTGTATCTTCAAAAGAAAAGAGAGACTAGATCTATTCTTCTTCAAATTGTTTTATTATGTAGTTGAAATGTTGTTAAACATCTATTTTCACAAAATGATCAGAGTACACACTGATAAAGATGGGCATTAAATAGGAATCATTATTGGTTTATGAACATACTGGAACTTGTGCACGAAAAGTGGATACCAGTTTAAATTATACTAGAGAGCCTGCATCTCTTTGGAGAACCAAATGCCATTAAAAAAAAAAAAAAAAAAAAAAAACAGGGAGGAATGGCTAAAGGGGAAGTGGGAAGGGGAGGGGAAAGGAAATAAGGGAAAAGAAAAAATGTGGAAAAAGGAAAAAATGGTAACAAAGTTTTTATAAATAGGGAAGGGTGACGGGGGTGGAGGGAGGGCAGGGGTAAGGAGGAAAAGCAAGAACCAAGACCTGTCATGTAAAGGTACAAGATCCAAATGATAAATGTAACTGTATTGTTTGCTTTAAATGCACCAATACACTCGATGGTGGGGCGCAGAGGGAGGAACTGTGGACACACAGCTGTACATTTTCAGTTGTGTCCTAAGGTGTAGTTTCTGCACATTGAAAGCACTCTGTGCTTTCTTACCAGATTTCTGAATTTGGGAACAAACCTTTCAGTTGCTATCCTTTCATGGCATCCTCCCTCATGCTGTACAGAGTTTTTGGATATTTGTGGGAAAACACATCAGGCTTATCTCATATGTGTATTTATTTTTGAATTTTCCATTATTCTTCAGTGAAGCTACTTGAAAGGAGGAAGAAATGATAACGGTCAGTAGTCCTTCACATTGTGACAAAATCACCCCTTTTCAAGTGGCACTGTTGTCTTTCACTGGCCTTGGATATCTTTTTCTTTCAGGAGAATATCATTTCTCATTAGGGCGGCCTTGTTGGCTGCATCGGGGAGCTATCTAAGATCAAGATTTATTTTACTATTCCATCTTTCTTTTAGCAAGGAAGCTCTTTTTCAGTATTTGACATAAAACATGGAATAGACCAACGAAATATGCTATGGTAAAACGTAAATTACATTTCACATGGGTGCACATTTGCCTGAAAAAACATTTGTTAAAACATAGTGTGGGTTGTATTTCATTAGGTCAAAAATATATTTACTATGAGCCTTTCATTTTTTTAACATTATAAACAAACATCCATAAAATGATTGACAAACTTTCATTTAAATTGTTTGGTTTTTTCCCAAAACTCCAAATCTGTTACCAGCAAATGCACAAAATTGTGTGAATCATCTCTTCCAGGATGATTCTACCTATGAAAAAAATAGACAATGCAGAAATAAATAGCTTTGTGGGAAAATAGAAACATTTTTGCTGTTCATCAAAGAAACAAGCAGTCTGACTTCCCTGGCTGCTTTATTCCTCCCTGTGATCTAGTAAATGACTTTCTGAGCAGCCAGAAGGGTGTTCCTCAGCAGCATCGCCACTGTCACAGGCCCCACACCTCCCGGGACTGGAGAGATAAAGCCGGCTTTCTTCCTCACAGCTAAGAGAGAAAACAGAAAATAGCGCTCATTTCTAAATTTTCACAAGAATTTCATTTGTTTACACATGCTGCCTGCAGGTCAGTGATAGCAAACCTTCTAGATACAAGGGCCCAAACTGCAACCCTAAACGTACTTATTTACCACAAAGTGTCAACACTGCAGTTAAACCTGAATACTGAGGTTTTAGTTTAGAGAAGATAACTCATACCTTAACATGTTTTGTCTTAAAAGAAAAACAACACATGTGGCATGGGTTCGCCACTACTGCTATAGGTTAATTCTGCATTATACATACAATTCTAACAAGCTCCAGTCATTTTTAGAATAAAGAGGGCTATAACAAACACACCACACACACACACACACACACACACACACACTCAGACATGACCATGTTATGATATCTAAGTTACGGAAAGAACATAGTAGGATCAAGACTATCAGTTCCACCTCCACTCATCTCAGCTTTCCATGATGAAAAGTTATAACCCATGAGTGACCCCATTACTTACCTGCAATTCAGAGAACCCACTGCACTCTCTGCTCTCTCACCTGCTTGTGGGGCTGGAGCAGGTTGTCCTGTCTGCTGCTAGAGTAACCGTTTGCACAGGAGAGGCGCTCCAAAAAGTAAGCCCTTATTTTAAACAGCCCTTACTTAAAATCTAAAACTGATCTGCAGAAGCATGCTCCTCATTTTGACTAGAAATAAACAATATCAACGTTTTTAAGCTAATTTACTATATGACTCAAGCTCTTTGTTTTGCCTGTGGGGATAAACTGTATTTTTCCTTTTTCAGAAAGAGGGCTTGGCGGCATGAGTAATGTTTTGAGGACCTTTTCCTAAACACTGTAGACACCATGCCTTTAAAATGCAAACAGGGGCTTTGAAGAGATGTACCACTACTGTTTATATTAATAGTATACAAGTCATGTATCTAGAAAGCAATAACTTTGAAATACTAAATATAAAAAGAAAATACTACTGAATAATATGGTAAATTGGGAATCAAGTACAAACTTAACTTTTTTTTAAATCAGGGATCGAACTCAGGACCTTGCACTTGCAAGGCAGACAGTGGAACCACTGAGCTAAATCTATGGCCCTACAAACTTAATTTTCAATGGAAAACAAAATTATTTATTTCTAAAAAAAAAAGCAGACTAAAATGTTATACCCAGAGATCCACTGTGAGTATATAATTGTTTTCAACCTTGAAACATAAAGTGCCATGGATATTATTTGTATATGGGAAAATAGCAAACAACCATACATGCTACTAGTTGAGAGACTAATACTGGACAAAAACTTCACATACGTTATTTTTTTTATTTGTTTTTCCCAGACTGATCATGAACTTGTGGATCCAAGTGATCCTTCTGCTCAGTCTCTGGAGTAGCTGGGAGTACAGGTTTTGTTTTGTTTTTTATTTACCACATTGGGCTTTATCTATCTTATTTGAATAATTTAATTATTATTTATTTTATACATGAGAACAGCATGGCTCACAGAAGCTATGTGACTTATCGCTCTCCCACATGTTGGAGGGCATCTTTCGCAGACAACTTTGAAAGATGCTAGGATTCTGTAATTTCACCCCATCTCCACCCAGCTGTGTTATCGTAACCTGAACAAGGAGCAGAACCCCAAGAATAGCTCGAGTGCCAGAAACGCACTCAGTTTTCTCATAGGGTTAGGAGGACCTTCTGAAAGAAGACACAAGAGAGACAGCTGTAAGAAGTGTCCTTGCATGTTGCTTGTGGGCACTCACAGCTGGGCAGTCCTGAACTGTGGCTGTGGCACCGCAGTTTCACAGCCAGCTTAACAGCCTGCCACACTCTGCCCCTTGGGTGTCAGCTCACAAAAACAACTGGTCTGCAGGTATCAGGACCCCACTCGTCCACGTTATGTTTCTCTTATATGCTTACTACTGCATTCATACTCAAAAAGCAAGGCTTGGTTGGAAGGTAGGGGGATAGAAATGAGCTGTTTCGTGAAATAAAATAATACTTGCCTAAAATCCTTAGCTCAGGATCTGTATTGTTCTGCACACTGCACTGGTGGAAAGCAACACACATCCCCCATCCTGCTCCCGCTCTTCCCAGACTGACTGAGCTGGGATGGGGCTTCATCTGAGTGCACTGGGGATGCTCTGGCTCTGGGACAAAGCACCAGGCAGCCTGGGTGGAGCCCTGTGCATAATTCAGCAGGCAGCAGACGACTATGACATTATTGTGAACGTAGTTGCCTATTCAAATCATTATTACAATCTTTTGAGGGGTACCAGGGACTGAACTCAGGACCTTGCACTTGTGAGGCAGGCGTGGTGCCACTGAGCTAAATCCCTGGCCCTTTTTCAAGTATTTTTATGTTGAAACCAAGTGTAAAATATGAAGGTGAAGTCTGTACATGGTCACAAGTGGTAGACAGTGATGCATTTGATTAGGTGATGAATATTATTAGGTCTTCACTCTTCTCCCTCCTTCCTTGCTTTCATTTTTGCAGCACTGGGGATTGAACCCCTTAGCTTGCATATACTAGGCAGGTGCTTTACCACTGAGCTATATCTTCAGCTTTTCTCTATTCCTTATCACTTATTTTCCCCAAGGGTCTTTGTCTGAGAAACTATTTAAGTTTATTGCTGGGGGCTAGTATTAATATACTGTCTTTTTATATAAGAGGTGAGGATATAGAAGTACTGTAAGTGATTTTCCAAAAAGATAAATGGTAGCAAATGCTGCTGGATGAAGTGAACGCTTAACAAAATTCTCAGCCAGGAGTGGTGGTGCACATCTGTAGTCCTAGCTATATGGGAGGCTGAGATAGGAGGATCACCTGAGTCCAGGCCAACCGGGACAATACAGCAAGACCCTGTATTTCATTTTAAAAATTAAAAATTCTCTAGTGTATTGCCTTGACATAACCACTTCAGGGCTTATGAAGTACCAGAGGTGGCTGAAGAGCTGAAATGTGTCATGGGAGAAAGACTTCAGTTCAATTCAATTCCTGCTTGATGCTCTGAATACACCTTCTTCAGTCATGTGGAAAAGAGAGGAAGATAACAAGCATTAAATCATTAGAATAACCTCACTGGCTGATCTTTCCCTCAGGGCAGAGAGGCTTTGCCCTGCTTATGAAGATGATGCTTTTGAAGATTAACCCTATTATGTGTGGGGGAAAGTATTTTATATGTCCCACTAGAGAGAACACAGAAGATTGACAGGGCAACAATTTCCTTTAAGGATTAATTTATGATTTACAAAAAAAAAAAATCTTCCAGACCTGAAAGATCCATACAGGGCAAAGAAGGTGAAGGAGAAAGCAGTGCTGAGGAAAGAGGAAGAGCAAGGCAGTTTGGGCTTGACAGTGACTCTGATGTAACAGAGGAGTGGAAAGAGTCCTAGAACACAGAAGGTGCATGACAAAAACAGCACTCTGGAGGTTGTTACCCTGAGGCAGGACAGAGGAGACTGAGCAGGGCCATCTGTCATTACTGTGTTCACAGTGAATAATCTTCTAAGACAGTCTTTTGTGAATGAACTGTTATTGGTGTGTTCAGGAAAGGCCAGTCTTATAAAACAAAAATCTGAGAGAAAAATGGATACTCATTGTTTTCAGAAGCAAATTGAAGGAGAAAGTCATCCTGCATTTTCATGGAGTTTCCGGAAGCTGCATGTTGTTAGATGATCCTTCAAGAAACGCCCCCAGCGGGAACTCTCATCCAGCCTGCAGGCCCCCTGTTCTCCACTAGATGGATGGCTACTGGGTTTTCTGTGATTGGCCTCAGATTTCTAAAGAAAGAATGTCTTGGTGCACATCATTCCATGATTCTTAAAAGTGGAAATAATATTTTCTTGTAACAGAACAAAAACCACAGGCATGGAACAAAGATCATTCCATGTGTAAATTGAAGCAATGACAGGGATGATGGGAGAGGGTAGGTGCTCGGCCTATGAATGCATCTCAAAAGAATTCATGGGTGACCTGTGGTTATAGGGTGTGGAAAGATTGCTCACAGAGGATGCTCATCGTGGTGCAAAGAATGCTAAATACTCCTGAACACCGAAGAGGAAGGAAAGGGCCTGTGATCGCTGACCTCCATGGGTGGGTGTCCCCAATTTGTGTACCCATCATCACTTACTCTACAGACTCTGTGCCCCTTCACCAGTCCTGGCACTCAACGCTCCATATTCTTATCTAACACACTCTGCGTGGAATACTGTCTAAGGTTTGGCAGTGAATTTCTCTTTCTATGCATTATGTACCACTCCAAATTTCCCAGAATAAAATTCCTAAATGTATCCAAACAATTAATTTTGCTAATATGTTTTGTGAGCTGAATTCTAGGGGAAAAAAATATAACAATATATCGTCCTCTATAAATCTTTTTTGGGGTATAGGAAAGGATAAAAATATCTCACCTTCCTAGTATTATTCCTCTGTTTTAACCGAGTCTCTGTCACTCTATGGCCTGTGTCAGATTTCAGGCAATCCAAAGACTAACTTTTATTTATTTATTTTTAATTTCTGTAGTATATTAACACATGTGCATGGTACATAATGTTAACATTTCTTGTGCGAAGTTGGTACATAAACATATCTTAATTCTTTTTTTTTTTTAACTAATCTTTGAAACCAAGTCCCTTTTCCAAAGAGGAGAAGGGTGGCAAGGCAGCAGAACAAAACTGTCTTGCTTCTTTCCTGTGGATTCCAGCCTCTCACAGTACATGTGTAATTGGCTCAATTAAATGCTCAGGGAATCTTCCCATGCTGCTAAATGCAAACCACTTAGGCACGGCCTTGCAAATATATCCACCGTAATGAAGGGGAGACAGGCTTCAGAAAAATGAGTACAGGAATAACAACCAGAAAAACCTGAATGGCACAGGTCTGGGGAAACAGGATGACTCAGGAGGTAAGAGGGAACACACTCCACTTTCTCAGGTGCCTGGCATAAGAGGGATGCTTAGGAGGACAAGGGACAAGATGGTAGAGGGCCTC